CCCCCTTTTTAACTCCCCCACCTCCCCCGGCTCCTCCTCCATCCATCTCCTCGCTCTGATTTCTTTCTCTTGTCTCTGCAGCTTTCTGCCTGTTTCTGCCCGACGCTGTACAAACCTGCGTTTAAACAGAAATAATCGCGTAAACGCCAGAGCTGCAGCAGTTCAGCGCTTTGTCTCAGCCGTTAAACAACCTGCGATGATCGTCCATTAACCAGTTTGAGTCGTTCCTTAATGAAAACAGTCTAAATTCTGGGATTACAGTTCTTAAATGTGAATATTTTGTGGTTTCTGACAGTGAACTGAACATCTTTAGATGTTTTCTTGACTTTAAAATAAAACCTGGCTCAAACTGATTTAATTAATGACCCGGACAGTTGATGATTCATTTCACTGGTCGAAGAAAAGAAGTCTTTTTAAAGACCTGAAAAAATGAATAAGAAGTATGAAAAAGTGTAAATAAAATGTATTAAAAATTTAAATGAAAAGTTCCACAAATATGAAATATTGTAATATTAAAGTTTTGATAAAACATAAGGAAAACCTCAATATGTCGATCAATGAAGTGTCTCTAAAATGTTTGAAAAATGCGCCAAAAATCTTTTTGAAATATCTGAAAACTTTAAAGAAATATAAATAGTAATATTATGCTGTCAAAAGATTCTACAAATTGCCTCAAATATGTGACGTTTTAAAATATTCATGAAATGACCTAAAACTGCCAAAAAATGTTAAATGTAAAACAGCTAATTTATGAATATTACGTCCTACAAAATGTAAATAAAATATCTAAAATATATGCAGAAAATGACTGAAAAATAATGAAAAATGTCCTTGTTTAAAAAACATTTTAATCAAGCATACACACGATATATGTCATAGAAAATACATCATGTGTCAGTGTTAGAAACATGCAGAAAATATGAAAAATATAATGTCCCAGAATATTTAAACATGCACAATATCCAACAAAATGTAAATAAAACATCTTAACAATATGGAGAAAATGGAAAATGTCCAGTTTAATCTTTAATCAGACATGAGACAAATACATCATGTACACATCGTCTCTCAGTGTGAGGAACATATGCTATGAAATGTAAAAACAGACTTCCTGTAAATATTTAAACATCCGAAACCATGTGCAGAAAATCACTAAACAGTAAAAGTAAACACAAAGTCCTGAGTATGAAAATAAATGTATAGAACTGGATCTGAAGGCGTGTGGCGTCGCTCCACCTGCAGCAGCTCCGTTCACACGCTGGCCTTCACCTGGTAATGGAGTATTTTTACTTTTCTCTATTGTTTGTTTGTTTGCTGCACATGATGCTGAAGCGTTTGCAGCCGTCAGCTGCAGCTAATAAACCGCCGCTCAGTTTATTAACCAGCGTGAACGAGGACACACTGAACTGGAGCTGCAGCCGCGAGACACTTTGATGTTTATAGACACTTGTAACAAGCTCAATCTGCCGC